TGTATGGTATTTAAGCCTCTCCCCCCCACCCCCTTTCTTGCTCTGCAGTTGGGGTCGCTCTCCAAGCACCAAGGCTTGGAGGTACTTTTCAAGCAGACAGTTACAAGGTGGTCTCGAGCTTAGCCTGATGCTCTCAGGCTCTCAGTCCATCAGTTCAGTTTGAGGCCATGGTCCTGGGTACACCTTCCGCAGCATACAGGACAAGGATGAACACCCTATCCAGAAGTGTATGCCCAATTCTATCAGTTCTCTCAGCGCTAGAGAATTGGGGAAAACTGCAGTTACTCTTTGGTTCCTTGAGGCTTACTTACTCCCTTCCTTCTACGCCCCTGAATTCTTCTTCATGGAGGTTACAGGGGAAAGTTAGAACAGCTAAAAGTATCTTGGCAGATTCTGGAGGTTTTGTGATTGATCATTAAGGAGTTTAGAACTCCTCCTTACAACCCTGGTCACTCCTTTTTCCCACTCCCTTCCCTTGAGTCAAGAGGGTATCTGTTAACCCCTCTCATAGGAGAAGAGAGTTTCACCCTTTACCCCTCACCTTTGATTTCACCCTCCCCCACCTGGGAAAGGAAGGAGTGGGGAGGGGCAGCAGCTACAGACTGGGCCCCACTGGCAATGGCCTTGGGCTCTGGGGCAACCTTTGCCTGGAAGCATTACCCAGGTTCAAAACATCCTGCTCAAGGTAAAGAAGCTGGCCTCCGAACTTGGGTAAGCACGCTCTTTTAAAGTTGTAGTTTTAACTGTTAACGATGAGATGCTGATTCTCTGTGTAAAGTAATTTGAAACTGCATTTAACAAAACTGAAGTTAAGTGATTGGTAATGGGTTTGTTTCAAGTTTCAAATTGGTGAATTTTTTGTATCAGTTATGTCAAGCAACTTTTCATAATTTGGTTACTGCTAAAATAATTTGGCTATTGTTGGTCATTGTTTTAATATGCAAACTTTCCAAAAAGCTTGTTTGGTTTTTGTCCTGCTAAGAATTTACAATCATATAGGAATAATCTGTAACAATTGGCTTTTTATACCAGGACAAATTTAAATCTGAGATGTAAATCTTAAAAAAGTTTTTCCTAAACTGTGACTAGTGAAACTTGCTGTTTGAGGTAGAAAGTTCATAGGATTTTATTTTGAGTTGTCTGATGGATCATAATAATCCATTGATAATCAATGATTCACCATGTCTGAGAGAAATGCCACAAGCTACTCAAGAGAATGTGATACTGGTGGGGAGTCAACATCGGGAAAAGCTGAGAGGACAATTTTAGCCTCAGTCTAAGATGGGATCCTCCTGGCTCAGTTTCCCCATTATGTTCCTTTGAAAAGGAATGTTACCCACCTGGCTATTCCTGAGTCTGGCTATGAGGTGGATTTGATACTGCATGGTTGGAAAACTGAATTATCTTAATCCAAACAGAGCTAAGGATGTTTTATCTTGTCATATCTGGGCCCTGCAGTCTTTTCTGTCAGATTTGTGTCTTCCAAACTACAGGCCATTCACCTACAGTTGGTAGCAAACAGCAGGTACCAGCCAATGTCCCCCCATCGTTCCTTGGATGCAGCCTGTGCTTGGTTCCAATCAACCTCCTCTTTGGGACCCTCTCGAGACAGGGACAGCTCTATGCCCCTTGCCAGCAGGAAGTAATTTCAGAAGCTAAGACCTTCGCCCCTTACCCCAAAAGAGTTTGGGTCCCATTTGTTTGAGGGAGAAATGATGAGGATGGGAGCAAGACCCCAAAAAGGAGAAAAGGAAAAAGAAAGTCCAAGGACTTCCCCATATGGACCAATCTCTGGCTGTTGCCTGAGGCTATAATCCCATCAACTGGCCTTTCTTTGTGGATACACCCAATCTCCCAATTCTCAGTTACCCTTAACCTAGCTCTCCATTGTCTTATCTCCCAATGGCCCCTGGCCACTTCCCACCCTTAATCCTACCTAGGCTCCATTCTCCCTTAGCCACCCCTGGAGTTCTATTACCTCAAAGACTACTTGGCCACTGCTAGATCCCTCCCATAGTCTTTCTGTATATAAAGTCCATCATGTCTCTATTAAGGGGCTTAGATTCTTAAAATCTAGCCACTGCTCAGACTCTTATAATCTAGCCAATAGCTTGCTAATGTTCAGACTCCTTAAGAGTCTGCCCAATATGACAGACGTTCTAATAAACCTTATCTCTCGCTGAAAAAAAAAAAAAAGAAAAGAAAAGAAATATTCTCTCAAAGGGCACCCATAGTGCCAATTTTAATTATTGACAAGCATTCCAACTGATCTTAAGATGATTTTTTTTTTAAACTTTAAAATCATGGAAAGAGCCCTCAACTAAGAATCAAGGGATCTGAATTGTCATCCCAGTTCTTCTAATAACTAGTTACGTAAGTGACTTCTGGACCTTGTTTCCTCATCTGTAAAATGAGGATATTGGATTAGGTGACCTCTAAGTCCCCTTCCAATCCAACATCTCTGATTCAGCAATCTCTCAGAGACTCAATTTCCTCATCTATAAAAATGAGAATGGTAGGCTAGATTATTTTTAACATTCCTTACCAATATCCATACTCTATGATTAGGGGGAGTGTGATATACTGTCAAAAGCCTTGTAGGCTCAGAGTTAGAAGGCCTGGGTTCAAGTACCACCTCATATAATTGATTATGATGACAATAATAGCTAGCATTTACATAGTGACATTATGTTTGCAAAGCATTTTATAAATATCATCTATTTTATCCTCACAATGACCCTGGGAGGTACAGACTATTATTGTCCCCATTTTGCAGATGAAGAAACTGAGACTCTGAACACTTAAGTAACTTGCCCAAGGTCACACAGCTAGTAAGTGTCTGAGGAAGGATTTGAATTCAGGTCATTCTGACTTCAACATCAGTGCTCTGTGAAGCCAGCTGCACGACCCTGAGAAAGTTACTTGCTTCATTGTTGTTGTTTTTTTCACTTGTAAAGCAAGGATAAAAATATTTGTTTTACCTATTTCATAGCATTTTCTAAATCTTAAAGCACTATGTAAATGTGAGTTCTGAGATGATAATGATAATATGATAATCATTGATTTATAATCTCAGTCCCACTATATTAGAAGAAAGTTAAAATTTAAAAATTGTCATGCTTTTTAGGACACAGAGAAATGAATGACATGACTTTGCACTGCAGGCTTGTACTTTTTAAAATATAGACCAAAAGGGCAACTTGCTCAAAATGCCTAAGTTTGAGCACAACAAAAATAATATAGAAAAGGAGCTCATAAATTTCTGCCCAAGGGGAAAATTATTGTTGTTGTTATGTTGCATAATATATTTAATAATAACAGAACACTTCAAGATTTACAGCACACTCTACATGCATTGTTTTATTATTAAGATAGAAAAGAAATCTATTTACCAATTTGTCTCATATAGATATGTGTTCATGCTCACAAGAAATCTTATAAAGGTAAGATAATGGCAAATGACTTCCCATTCTTCAGGTAATAAATATGATTCTTGAGCTTTTCTGAAGAAAATGGATGGGAGCAAACTAGCAAAGGTCCATGAAATGGGAAATCTCCACATAATTCCACTTACACAATTCTATGAAAAACAGAATAGAAGTGTTTCATTGTTCTACAAGTAAAAAACAAAAACAAAAAAAACAAGCAAGTATGTAAAAGTCATATAGGAAAATTGTCTGCTTCCCACCCCATCTGACTTCCTACCGTTACATAATGAAGGTTATTAACTAAACTTCAAGTGATGGTTTCTACCATGGTCTTCTCCAATTTTTCTTCATAAAATGTTTTTTCTAATCAAACTCATTTCAGCCTAACTGTGGTTGTGTGATTGCATTAGAGCTTTCTTTAAAGAATATAATTTGTCACTGGAACCCAATCATTGGATCTTCCATTCAATTGTGGTAGTGATGGAAGGGATCTTAAAAGACATCATATCCAACTCCTTCATTTCACAGTTTCAAAACCTAAAGCACAGAGAAGTGAAATAACTTGCCCAGGGTCACAATGCTAGTAAATATTTGAGGTAGGTTAGAATCCAGATCTTCCTGACTCAAATTTGGCACCCTATCTACCATGTTGGCTTTCAAACTTTAGCTACCTTATCTTCGTCTGACCAGTACCCATCCTCAAGGATTTCCCCTGCTCTCCAACTCTTCCAATCCCAGTGATGAAAATAACCCATTATCATGGAGAACTACCTGGACATAAAGATCTTTATGGAAGATAAGCAGTTTCTTAGAGTTTCCCTGGCATACAGATACAGCAAGTGAATAAGGTGAATGAATATAATATTTAGGGCATTAAAAAAATGACCCTTTAGTATCACTAATCCCAGAAAAGTCAAACCTAACATTTATTTTGTGTTTGGTTCTCCTGAAATACATTTTTGTCTAGGAAACAACAACCACTTTCCTTGCCCAATAACAACAGCAAAAATCTACAGGGAAATAGGAAAATTTGAGGAAGCCCAATTCTATTTTTCTTACCTTCATCTCACATACCAGGTCCTAACACTCAAGACAAGTATGACATATAAGAGTAAGTAGGCTCATTAGTTACAACATCTCACTAGACCTTTTAAACCAAAGACCCTACCTCTGAAGGTTATGGGGCAGCAGAGATATATAGCCTCCTACAATATCTGCAACAGCTCCAAGTTAACTGTCAGTATTTTTTTAATCCTCTTAGTTATTTTAATGCATTTTTTTGTGTGTGGAATGTGGTTTGCCAACAATCTCCAGTTATTACTTTACATAGTAAATTCACTTTTAGGGGCTTCTGTCCCTAGAAAAGAGACATTATTCTGATTACATTTTGTGTGGGAAATGAATTTGTTTACAGGTTTGCTACAGATTCATTTCTTTTTAATTCTCTTCTTTTGGGTACTTTCATAAACCGTCAAAGAATAGAGACAATTTTTGTAATAAAATCCTGCTAAGCCAAGCTCTCACAGTAACAAACCCCTTGGCAGGGGGCCTGTCAATGGCACATTTCCAGGACCTCAGTCTGAACTGCAGCCAGAGGCTCGACATAAGAATGGACCCAAGATGGCTTGTCACCTTTCACCTTTGACCCTTCCCCCAGCTGCCTCATGCTTTGTGAACTTGAAATCTTGTGAGAGAATGCTGAGCCGTCCTGTTTACAAACAGCCTATTTATTCCTCAGGAACAGCTTGGCAGGACATATCCAGGTCACCTGACCCTGCGTTGTCACAGAAACCATGAGCTTCAGACTCTTCCTGTAGTTAAGCCAAAACGGCAGCATTTTTGACTGGTTGAAACTGGTGCTGAATTGTGAAGTCATTCTCACTAAGCGAATTCACTTTTGGGCTTCCGGCACACTCCACCAAAGTCAAGGCGTGAAACACAACAACTGTCATACTTGAACCATAGGATTTGGGAGTCATGCACTGACTGGAAGAAAACAACATGTGTCAATTTAACTGCCATTTTATAATTTCAACAGCTGCACTGTTTGTTTAGACCTTGCTAAGTTTACATCTACACAAACCAAATTCATGTACTTTTCTTTAGCTGTCTCCAAACTGTATGTAACCTTTGTTTTAGTGTGATTTTTAAGTGTCAGCCACTTACTTGATGAAATTCCTTGCTTCATCCCTTTTTCTCCAACCTTTGTGACCCACCATCTCCGGGGCTGTTGGCTTGTTCATTATTGGTGACATTTTGTAGGAAAGAGTCATCTGAAATCATTAGTGGATACATGACTCTAAGAAAAAAAATATATGGAAGCCTGAATGTAGAAGGTAAATTAGGAGTTAGTCATTCATGTAACAAAAGGTTTTGCAACTTTATAAATAATAACATATCTGAGTTTCTTTTGTAAGCCTTCAATACTTTAAAATAGGATTTGATTACCAAAACTCCAAGCACAACCCAACTTTCTGAATATTTGTTGTGTAAAGCAAGGGATGCCTTTAGTGAGCTTTCTTGGTTAGGAAAAATCCATCATGGTGTCTCATGTCCTGTTGTTCAATGAATAAAAAATGAAGTTGTTGTTTTTCATGTGTTCGTGGTACCTTGGAATCGAAATGCACAAATGTTAACTGAGGAATCTTGAATTTGAGAAAAAGATTTCCCTATTTTGAACCAAGAAGATAATTTGTCAAATGTAAAAGTAAAATACATGTTATTTGATAAAAACATATGTTTGTGATAGAAATTGAGTATTTTTTCTTATCTTGCTCAGATCTTATCTATTATGACATGGAAATATTAGACTTTATTCAGTAGGCAAGAGGGAGCCATTGAGGGCTGTGGGCAAAGAGACTTTATCAGATCTGTGATCTTAAAAACTGGTCTGCATTAGAAGGGTAAAATGACTAGAATTGGGATGATCAGTAAGGAAACTATTGTAATAGGTAGGAAAAAAGAAGGACCTGAACCAGGATAGGAATGAAGAATGGGTATGGAGAGGATGATTAAGAGGGACTTCATGAATAACTGGATAAGGCATTTATTGAATTTATTTCTTATAAAAATATGTAGTTTTAAGACTTTTTTTCTAACAGTATTATGTAATTTTTTTTTAGAGCAGGTAGATAGGAGTGTCGCTTGTATGCGACCATACAGCTAACATGTATTTTGTCTATTCTTTATTATCTTAGTAGTTTCATGCTATGTATGTACCATAACCAACTTATTGCCTATGAGAAACATGTAAGATAATGTCTTTACAGTCATTGTTACAAGTTTATAATGTATTTTTCTATCTTGTTTTATATGTATGTTATATAACATTCAAAGAGAATTTTTTCCTGTTTAAGAAAAGGATACAAAATGCAAAACCCACAATTTTGATAACTAAAAATTGCCAATTGTTTTGTAGTACTTCATTATATTGAGAGTGTTGTCTTTCTTGGGCTTTTAGCTAGCTACTGAATGAATACATTAGACACATTCGGGTATTAGTTGGGATTTTACATAGCTTGCATTTTAATTCTTTGGTTCTTTGCTGTTTCTATTAACCCATAGTATTATTTTAATAAATGTTATAATACTAACCTAAAAAAAATAACTGGATCAGGGAGGAGAATTCATGAATGAATTTCAAATCTGGCTAAAACCATTGAAAGATACAAGAAAGTCAAGAGGCTTGAGGATGAAGATGATGATTTCAATTTTGGATATGTTGAGTTTAAGGTTTTGGCAGGACCTCCAAGTGAAAATGTCCAGAATAGGTTTAGAAATGTAGATGTGGAGTTCAGGGAGAAGTTAGGGCTAGAAATTTAGATTTGGAAGCTATACATACAGAGATGAAGCTGTGGGAATAGAGGGGTCCTGCAAAGCAGATAGCACAGAAACAAAAAGACTAAGAACAAAACCCTCCAAAAAGGCCACATTTAGAGGAGGAAAAGTGAAAAAAAAGGGATGGGTGGAAAAGACAGAAGGAGCAAGAGAGATGAGAGAAGGACCCAGAGAATGCAGAATCATAGAAACCAAGGGAAGAAAGAATCTTTCAACTAGAGAGGAGTGGAAGTTAATAATGTTAAATGCAAGACGAGATCTAGGGGATGATTACTATGAAAGACTGCAAGATTTATTAACTACCAAGATATTGGATGACCTCATAGATGCAGCTGTTGGAAATCCAAATCCAAACCCTTTGTGTGTATATACAGAGTTAATTCCCAAATGTTGCTACCTGTTCAAATAAAAGCAAAATTGGAAATTGTCAGTATTTGACTTACTCAATGGGTAAATGAAATAATGTAGGTAAAGTGCTTTGTAACTTACAAAGATATATATCACACATATATAAACATATGTATGTATGTATGTGTCATCATTTTTTAGTCATGTCTGACTCTTCATGACCCTCTTTGGGGTTTTCTTGGAAAAGATACTGAAGTAGTCTGCCATTTCCTTCTCCAGCTCATTTTTTACAGATGAGGAAACTGAGGTGAACAAGGTTAAGTGACTTGCTCAGGGTCACACAGCTAGTAAGTATCTGAGGCTGGATTTCAACTCAGATTTTCCTGACTCCAGGCCTGGTGCTTTATCCACTGCACCAACTAGCTGCCCTTGTATATATGTATATGTGTATGTCATTGTTATCACTTAGAGGGCCACTTCTGTAAAAGAATTATTAAACCTGCTGGATTCTTCAGAGTCTGACCCTACTTGGAAGCCTTCCAATGAAGAATACATATACAGCATGTCCCAAAAATCTTTGTGACATTTTAAGCTTTAATAGTTTGAAACCATACTAAGACTTCTGGAACAATCTAAATAGCTTGCGCTATAGATTTCAGTGTCTTGAACTACTTGCAATTACAAGATTTCTTCTCAAAGTTCTTTTGATTGCCTATGTCATCCTATTCTGATTGCCAATGTCTCTTTCCTATGATGAATTCCTAAAACTGAAAATTCCTTTGAAGTTATTGAATTGATAATACAAATAATATAAAGAGATCATCTCAGCATTAAGTCTGACTCTGACTCAAGAAAGAGTTGTGATTTGAATAGATTTGCACCCCAAACCTAAGACAAAAACCCAGCCCAGAAATAAAGAATTTTTTCCTCCCTTAAAAGAAGATTGGAGAAAAAGAAGGGGGAAAAAAGCACAAATGGTTACAATTGGGAAGGAATACAACAAAAGAATGTATTGCAACCACTCATTTGAGATGATAGCAAATGGTCATGGGAACACTAACATGGGCAAACCCCTGCTCTAGGGTGGCTGCTAACATGGAGTAAGTCACCAGGAAATGACAAAATGATGCTGAACTCCCTGTTCGGAAGATAAGGTAAGCTGATTTGCACATTAATAGTATGGAGAAATTGTTTTAGGATGATTTCTATAAAAATATGATGTTAGTAGTTCTGTGAGAGAGAGAGAGAAAGACAGAGAGTGAGAGACAGAGAGAGAGAAACATTAAGCCTATAAATACAAGCTTACTATGTGTCAAGCACTGTGCTAAATGCTAGGAATGTAAATGCAAGCAAAAAAAATGAAAAAAGTCTCTTTTAAAGGAATCTGTGTTTAGAATATGAAATACTATATAAAAGAGAAAATGTGAGATAAGATTTGTGGAAACGATGGGTCTTTGAGTCTCTGGAAGTTCAAGAATATGAACTACTTACTGGGGTTTGTACGATAGTTCTCATAGGTTACAACACAGGGCTGTTGTGGGGCTCAAAGAAGATAATGTACCTAAAGTGCTTTGCAAAAGTTAAAGTGTTGTGTAAATGCCAGCTATTGTCATTATTGTTGTTATCAATTTAACATAAATAATTTAAATGCCATGAAAGGAACTAACTATGGAAATATACATTAGCCTATTTTTATCTTGGAGAGAAATGAGACAACCATTCATATCATCCACAAACTCGCCATTAGTTTCCACAGTGATCATATTCAGAAGAAATTTGTTCATCATTCAAATAGTAATTATATATATGAAGTGCTAATAGTCTGCCACTAACTAGCTCTGTAACTTTAGACAAATCTTAACCTCCCTGTACCTCAGTTTTCCCAGTCTGTCAAATTAAGGATTTAGACTAAATGATTTCTAAGATTTCTTATTCTAAAATTCCATGATTCTACTTCACATTATTTCCAAGAGAATATTTCAGGAGAATATCTTGAAATATCTTTGTTGCTGAAAAGTAACAAAGAATCATTACTTAAAATCTAAAGTAGCCTAAGAAACAATCATTAAATCATTGATGTGTGGTCTAATCCAGTGGTGTCAAACTCAAATAGAAATGAGGACCACCAATCCATACATAAGGATCCTTGATGGCCACGTTCAAATGTAACATTATCTATATTTTGTTGTATTTGTTTTTATTTTGTCAAATATTTCCCAGTACCATTTTAATCTGGAAGGGGTGACCCTATTATTGCTAGACACAGGCAGCCAGGGCCACGTGCCTGAAATTTCTAGTCTGATCTAGTGACCCCACTGCCATCGTTGTTCTGTTTGTAACTTGTCACATGAAAACTTCATGTTATTTTTTAATGTATTTTTGATGCTGAATTCAAAATGCAAACAGAATGTCTCTATCATTCACCATAACTGAGTGACATGTAAATTTTCTTTTAAAACTATTCAGTATGAGATGGTAATAAAGTGTGGTTTGACTGAGGACAGGCTAGGGTGAGATATAGTGAGAAGTCATTAGGTGGCTTATTCTTTGCACGCAGTGTGAAGTCCCAGCTGAAGTGTTATGTGGCAGGGCAGGCTAAGACATGTTCACGAGTGTTCAATCATGTAGTAAAACTCTCAGTATGTAACAGCTGTTCTGTCAATTGTGTGTAGGGTGTCATTTTGATAAACATCGTTATTGTTTCTAATCCTGTTTTCTCAAGTGCCTCTTATTCTGTATATGTTGGTATTTGCTACTGAAATTCTCAATATGACTCATAAGTGTGTCGATTATTCAAAGTAGCTATTGTTAGGTATGCAGGAAAATAACTTTTAAATCTCAGAGACAAAACTTTACTAATTGAGAAAGCATGTGAATGTATTTTGGTTGCAAACTAGATGATGAGGATAAGGCTTGGATCCCTCACTAATGATATATCACTGTGTTTAACTACTAAATGGCAGGATACAGAGATCTTGTCACATGATTTGAAGAAAAGAAAAAGACCATTTCACAGATTACTACTTTTGCCTAAAAAAAAAAATCAAGAGGATTCCCTCAAATTCTAAACATACCAAACAGTATGATACCAAAACCACCAGAAACATAGAATTGAATGAAGCTGAGCCTGAAAATTCAGATTCTACCAATGATGTTCAATGACAAGGTAAGAGAAGAGCAAGGTGGCATTTCCCCATTTGAAGTAAACTTTCTGTCTCTAGGTCTTCATTTAACAACTCAAGTAGACCTAAATGACCTTGTTTGTGATTTTATCCAAAAATTAAACTAAACTTTTTGCTTCTAAAAGGATGGAATATCCTGTAAGAGGGCAACAAAATATGTTCAAAACATGAAATTTCTTTTGAGACACATTTCCATGAAAAGTGCTCTTGGCATTTCCATGGGGATTTGAAAATGTTCCCTCTACTACCAGGATTACAACATAGGGATAAGTAATATGATTTCTTTGGTAGTGGGGGCTCCCAGAGAGGAACTTTCTCAACAAATGCAGGTCAGCATTTTCTGCACCTTTTCTGAAATTTATAATCTTAAGAGAATTGTTCAGAGCACTGAAGGGTTAAGCAACTTGTCCAGGGCCACATAGCCAGGATGTATGAGAGACAGAATTTGAACTAAGGCTTTCCTTATACTGAGACTGGCTCTATATCAACTCCATCATTTTGTCTCTCAACATTGCTTGGATGTATCAAATATTGATGTTTTAGTTGTGAATGGTGCAGCAGAGGCAGAAAAAAATGAGTACATTAAATAATACTGGCCTCAGAGGGAAAAAATTATTCTGGGAAGAAGAATGTGCCAATCATTCATAAGGCCTGAAATTTTTTTCTTACCACCACTGAGCATTCAACTTGATCTATTGAAATATTTTGTCAGGATGAAGAATCAAAATGATGATGATTTCTTTACCTGAAAAATAAATTTCCAAGAATCAGTAAGGCTAAAGTCAAAGAGGAATTATAAAGAAAGTGATAAAAGATAAACACTTTGAGGAAGAGTTGAATTAAGTTGACAGAACTATATAGATATCATTTTTAAAAGTGACCAAAAACTTTTAGGGGGAAGACTATAATGCAGAAATTTATCAAGAAATTACTCAAGATCTTCATAAAGCCTAAAAGATTATGGTCTATAATTAGTCATTCAAGATCCATTTCTTAATTCATATTTGCACTTCTTCCTAGAAAACCTACGTCCAATCAGTGATGAGAACAAGGAATACTTCCATCAAGATATCAACGTAGTGGGAAATGTATGGATGATGTATTGGAGTGGGGAAAGACAAGGTAGGGAGATCAATTAGAAAGCAATAGTCCAGGAGAATGTTGATAGTGGTAGCACAGTGGGTAAAAAGAAAGGGGAAGAGTGAGAGGTTTAGGTAGAAACTTTGGAGGTAGAAATGACAGGCTTTGACAACTGATTGGCTACATGGGGTGAATACCAGTAACTTTGTGAAAAACACAGAGATTGTGAACCTGGGAGATTGAAAGGGTAGTGGTGCCCTCAACAGAAACAAGAAAGTTTGGAAATGTATGTGTTTAGGGAGAAAGATAATGATTTCTAATTTGGTATATCTTTCATTTGGGATACCAGTAAGACATTCAGTTCAGCAAGTCCAACAGGCAGGACCAGAGTTCAGGGCTGGATATAAATTGATAATGATCTTTTCCCCTACATGATCCCCTCTTCCAAACTTCCCCATCTCTGTTGAAGGTCCCACTATCCTGGTGTCCCAGATCTGTAACCTAGGCATTATGCTCAACTTCTCACTCCCTCTTTCTCCACATATCCAATCAGATGCCAAATCTTACTGTTTCTGATTTCACAACCAACTCCAGTGCCTTCCTATTGCCTCTAGAATAAAACAATCTCCTTTGTTTTGCTTTGAAAGCCCTATATAACCTGGCCTCAACCTACCTTTCACGCCTATTGGACATTACTGCCACTGCTGCACTCTTTGATCTGATCAAACTAGCTTTCTCTCTGTTTCTCGCCCACAAACATTTCATCTTCCATCTCCGGGTCTTGGAACTGGCCGTTATACCGAATGCTTGGAACGCACTCTCTCCTTATCTACCAGTCATAGAGTTCATCTCTTCCTTTACGATGCAGCTTAGGCACAATCTTCTGCATTAAACGTTTCCCAAACGCCCACAACTGCTAGTTCCCTCCCTCTGAAACTCCCTCATATTCATCTACTGTACTGAATCTGAATCTCTGGGGTATAGTCTATGAATGGTTTGTATACGCCCTTCTCCTATTGCCTCCCACTGTGGTTGTTCAGGAGCCTGAGACCTCGGCTGTGTGCACCGAGCTCACAAGGGGCCAAGGGCTAGGGTCAAGTGTCCCTCTCCAGAGCTTAGCTACTCAAACTATCCTATGTCAGGAAACTCGAGACCCCCTTTATTCCGTTAAATGAATACAATAACAAGCAATGCCAGAGCCTTCCAAACTTCCCACTTGGGGTAAAGTTCCAGTTGCCCTGACCTGGTTTCATCTCTGATTCATATTGAGCATTTCCCCATATCTTTTTTCAGAAGAACTATTGTCTAACCATACCTACCCAGCCTGTATTTTTTGTGCAGTTGACATTTTTAATCCAAGTTCAGGACTTTATGTTTATATTTATTCAATTTCACCTTATTAGATTTGGACTCAACTTTCTAGCCTATAAGATAAATTGGAAGGAAAAAAAAGGAGGGGGCAGAAAAGGAATGGGGAGAAAGATTGAGTTATCGCTTCTACCCTCATTACATCTACCTAGAAAAGATAGAACAAAATCTTCAGGATATGTCTATATGTGGCAAATATCTCATAGAAACAAATGATATCAGAGTGTCAAGATGCCCAACAGATGACTTTTGATAGGGAGAAGTTCCTTCTGACGGGTGCTGCCTTTCCACTTTAGGATAAAAGAAGTTAGGCAACTCACTCTTTGGTATTTTTGCACCAGGCCCTCTCTCTTTTTCTTAACTTCTCCCACCCCCTTAATGACATTCTTACTCCAGAATCAATTCAATTCTTCTTAAGCATCTAATATTTTCAAGGCACTATGCTAGGAGCTTGGGATACAAAGAGAAAAATGAAACAATACTTCTCCTTAAGGGCCTTAGATTCTACAGGGGAAAATATAATGCATATACAGTAGAGTGAAGTAAAGGTATTTTGTAGAGAGAGAGAACATTAAAAACTAAGGAAAGGGATATATACAAAAATAGTCATAGCAAAATTCTTTGTTATACCAAAAAATAGGAGGAGAAAAGGGAGCTAGAGAAGTGATGCCAAAAAAAAGAAAGAAAGAAAAGGGCATCAATGAAGTTTTTCAAAATAAGAAGGGAGCAGAAGAAAAATCAAAGGGAGATACAGATCAATGGAATGGTTTTGGAACTAATATATTATTTATATACTTTTTTTCTTAAAACAGTTCTGTGTAAGAGAATTGTGGTTACACTTAGAGTCTTCTTTTTTATTCTTTATATATGAAAATGCTCATTTTTTTGATGTTTTTCAAGTTCAAAATAACAATTTTTTAATAAAAATTAAAATTCTCATCATTTGGGGATTAGTAGAACAAGTTATGGTATATGATGGTGATGGAATATGATTGTACTACAAGAAATGACAAGCGGGATGGTTTCAGAAAAGCCTGGGAAGATTTATATGGACTGATGCAAAGTGAAGTGAGCAGAACCAGGAGAACATTGTATGCAGTAATGGCAATATTTTACAATGATCAACTGTGATAGATTTAGCTGTTCTGATCAGATTCAGTTGTTTTTTCAGTCATGTCTGACTCTTTATGACCCCTTTTGGGGGTTTTCTTGGCAAAGCTACTGGAGTGGTTTGTCATTTCCTCCTCCAGTTCATTTTACAGATGAGGAAACTGAGGCAAACAGGGTTAAGTTACTTGCCCAGGGGCACACAGCTAGTAAATGCCTGAGACCAGATTTGAATTCAGAAAAATGAGTCTACCTGACTTCTGTCCCAGTACCCTATCCGCTATACCACCTAGCTGCTGACCCTAAATAGACTAGAGACCAGAGAGAAGACTTGATGATCATATGATCCTAGATCTGGAACTGGAGGGAACTTCTGAAGCAATCTAGTTCACCTCCCTCATTTGAAAATGGAGGAAACGGGCCCAGGGAAGCTAAGTGACTGCCCAAGTCTCCCACTCTATAAATAATGCTTTGTCCACTGCATGATGCTGCCTCCTTATCATTGGCAGAATATCAGTGGTCTGCCCCTAGGAAGTGGTAGGCCAGGAATGACTTCAAAGGAGGAAGGCGGACAAATGGACAGAACAGTTATATTGATGGAGCCATTGGAAGTAGTGGGTTCCTATGTTAGATTTAGCTTCACATATTGGGGCTGTGGGTATATCCATAACAATTAATTAAAAGATAATTCCTCAAGCTAATTTTCAGGGAAGTTTGTAGTCAAGAGAAAGCAAATGATAGCAAAGTGAATTGTTTCATTGAAGAAGAATATAGTAAAGACCATATTTTTGGAATGTTATTACAATTAATGCAATTATCATGTTTTGTTGCTATTAAAGGTTCCCATAATAAAGGGTAATTGGGCAATTTGCCTGGTGCACTGAAAAATAATATGTACTCTTTGCCCTTATCCATGGGAAAAGAGGGGACAATAGTGACCTACTGGCCCTAGAAATTTAGTTTTGTGGCCTGATCTTAGGGAAATGTAACCATTCTGTTCTGGTACTTCAATCTTGAGGCAGCTAGGTGGCACAATGGACAGAATTCTGTGTCTGCAGTCAGGAAGACTCATCTTCCTAAGTTCAAATTTAACCTCAGATACTTACTAGCTGTCTGACCCTGGGAAAGTCATTTTAACCCTGTTTGCCTCAGTTTCCTCATTTGTAAAAATAAGCTAGAGAAGGAAATGGCAAACCACTCCAGTATCTTTGCCAATAAAACCATAAATGGGGTCACAAAGAGTCAGACATGCTGACATGACTAAACTAAAAAAAAAAAAAGTTCAATTTTGCCTGTCCCAATAGGCATTTGTTAGTTTACACACAGGCACAATATGACTGTTATTATGTATAATATGCCTCATCATGGCATAGAGAAAAGATAACCCTGGATTTTCAAAAGATCACAGGCTCCCACAGTTTCTACCAAGCTGCAAAGGCATCAGGTATTAGCTCATGACGGGCTCACATCATTGTCAGAGCTGAGGAGGGAAGGGAGATGCAACATGTACATTAATAAGTAAGTAAAAAGCATATACAAAGTAAATCTTGGAGGAAAAGAGAGTGTTAACATTAACAACTGTGAGTAAGGAAGATGAAAGGCCTTAAACCATTACATCTAAACATAATTCAATATAGTAAGTCAGAGAGGAGACATGACATTAAGAGATTCAAAGCCAACTTTGGAATCAGTGAGACTGGGGTTTAGTTCATATATCTAACACATGCTCATAGGATCAAAAATCTAGAACTTTAAAGCCTTTGGAGGCCACAGAGTCTAATTTTACAGATGTGGAAAATGAGGCATAGAGATGTTGAGGGACTTACCCAGAATCACCCAACTAGGCAGTGCTGAGGGGAGATTTGAACCTGGGTCTTCCTGACTTCAGGTACAGTAACCGATCCACTACACTATATTGTAAATGAACTGTCATGTGCAAGTCACTTAATCTCTTAGTGTGCTAGGCAACTCCCTAAGAATGAACACTGCAGATGAATTATCAGCCTGCATCAGTGGAGGGAGGTTCTACAATAGAATCTCTCCATTCTAGTAATGGAGGTCTAGATCCCCTCCCCCCAAAAAATTTAATATATAGTGCTACTGCATTTTATTTCATCACCTTCATTTAAATGAAATTTCTCATGTTCTACTCGGACTTCAAACAATGAATGACTGATTCTTACCAGAATTTCTCTTTTTCACCATTCATTACTCTTTAACCATTCTGTAAATAAGGTAGTCCTTCCCCAGAATTAAACAAAACAAAATCTCATCATATCCCCTCACCACTCCTAGAAAACAGGTAAAGAAATTGGGACACTCTAGGTCCTCAAGTGCTGCCCTTTGACTGAATCCAAACTTCACAGAACAAATCCCCTTAATAAAACACTTTTTGTTCCGTAAAACTTGGACTCAGTAAAAAGGCGTGCACCCAAGGTCCTAGAGGGCCACAGGTGGCCTCGAGGCCATAGGTTCTCCACCCCTAGACTAAGGCAATGCATGTTGTGTGCTATCAACAGTGGGGCAATCTAGTGCAGGGATATATTATTAGCTTATTTTGTATGTCAAGCAAGAGAGCTGAGGCTATGTGATTTCTCCAGTTGCCCAACTTTTACACTGTGTCTATACAGGCAGGATGAACTAGACACTCGAGGGGATAATCCAGATAATCCTTGCAAAAAGAACTGAGGAAGTGCAGTTTGACCTGAATTGACTTGTTTGTCTATATTATAGATACTTTGTTAATCTATTTGTTTATCTATAATAATTGAACTCACCAGATTGCTTGTTTCTCTACTTCATCTTGCCAGTGTAGACACTGCCCCTGTGGTTTTCATTAGAAAAATGAACCTAGAAGGGCACACATAAATACATATATAAGCAATGAATTAAGAAATTAACACTTAGGCATGTGAGATTTGTTGAATGATCTTTCAGAAATGCAAAGCTGTCCTGTCTATTAGGAACTTGAAGGAGGATTAAGTCAACAGTTAGAGTATAGATTACACATCCCTTTTGGCAGATTTAATTTATTCTACATATCTGCAACACACTTATCTAGAAAGAGAAATACCAGGAAACTCTTCCTTATCCCTTTCCTCATAAATTTCATGCCACCTCCGTGAAGTCTACCCCCTTTTCTCAACTGTCTTTCCAATATACATTTTTGCAGAGAAGCTAACAAGCCATTCATTCTCTCTCCCACAGTAGAGGGAAGCTTTTTCCACTATTCACTTAGTCCAATCAATATAAATGGCAACCACAGTCCAGTTTTTGTCCTGAAGTATGCGTCCTTTAAATTTGCCTCCATTTTTCTTCTCCTTCACAACCAAATCCTATGACTAGTTCTTTTCACAGGACCACAGAAAAATGCTGTTGTTGTTGAGTCATTTCAATCGTGTCCAACTCTTTGTGACCCTATTTGGGATTTTCTTGGCAAAGATACTGAAGTGGTTTCCAGTTTCCTTCTCCAGCTCATTTTTCAGAAGAGGAAACTGAGGCAAACAGGGTTAGATGACTTGCCCAGGGTCACACAGCTAGTAAGTGTCTGAGGCCAGATTTGAACTCAGGAAGATATCTTCCTGACCCCAGGCCCAACACTCTATCTACTGTGTCACCGAGCTATCCCTGGAAAATATACAGAGCAAAAAAACAAAAAAAAAAACAAAAACCCAATTGTGCACCCTAAGATGCTGGCTTCAAAGCAGTGAAGACACACACACACACACACACATATCACTTTAAGTTTTGTTTTATAAATGTTACCTAATTTTATCTTCACAACAACCCTGGGAGATAGGAGCTATTATATTTGGTGGATGATGAACCTTAGGCAGACAGAGGTTATGTGACTTGCCTAGAGTCATGTAACTAGTAATCATCTAAAGCTGGATTTGAACTCAGTTCTAGCATTAGACTAGGTACTGGGGATACAAAGATGAAAATTAAGCAGTCCCTGCCTTCAAAAAGCTTATATTCTATAGGGGAAACTGTATTTATACCTGTGTATACACACATACATTCACACATACATATTATACACCCTATATTATCTTTACATACATACATACATATGGGATGTGTGTATGATCTGTTACCTTATTTAGTATGCCTGACAAGGCTCTAAGTGATGCCTCCAACTCACTTATGACTTTGATTGCCCAACTTTTAATCTGTGTCTACACAGGCATAATAGAATAGAATAAACCCTTGAGGCTATTATCCAGCTAATTCTTGCAAAAAAAAAAAACTGAGGAAAAGGAGATTTGACCTGAATTGCACAAATTGTACACATATGTTTTTAAATACACATATTTTATGCACATATATTTTTATATGTTATGATAAAAATTACTCATAGGATTTGGAAGAAGAAGAAAATAGAGAGAAATTTTAAAGTGTGCATGCAAAAAATTGTTGGCTATTTATGTTAATCAGAATATACCAAATGTAGCTAACTATTCATTCTTACTCTTCTTTCACGGTGTGACTTTTATTGCCATTTGCTATAGTCGTCTCTTTTTTATCTGAACTAAACAAATTGTATATGGATATATATATATATATATTTACTAAAGATACATACAGAAGTGACCAGTTCATATATGAATGTATATACACATGAATGCACACAAATATATCTATTCTGAGTGTACAATAATCATATGATGTCAAGACCCACCAAATGGCCAGCCTATAAATAGTATTAGGAGGCCCAGTTTGAGGTCTATGGTCATCCCAGAGAACCAAAGTTACAAAAACTTTAAAGTAATATCTTTATTTATAAATGTATTTATCCTTTGGCCACTGCTCAAATCAAGTTTCTAATTCCCTAATTCCAATTATACCAGGGCAGCTTATATTGTCATAAACATCTTTGGGGGATTAAACCTTTAATCACAATTTTTAAATGAATGTAATAGTTGATAATATATATTCATTGCCTAATCAGGAATAAAAATTATAATCCCATAAAAGCTGTTTAATAACAATTTGAACTACTGAGCACATAATTAAGGGTGTTAGGGGATTAGAAATGAGATTTCAAGGTGGCCAAGGGGTAAATTCAAGGACTTTAGATACTTTTTTAAAGGGGGGGGTGGGGTGAGAGGAAGAGAGAATACTGGAACAAAGTATCAAAGCTTCTAGAAGGTGCCTATATTTGTGTTTGTATAATTACGCCTAGTGTATAGGCAGTTATAATTAAATTAACAGTGTGGCTTGTGCTTAGTAGAATCTTTTGTTTAAATATACCTCTTTTTTCAGATGATGAAACTCATTAATAAACAATTTAAGGTCTATTTATGATTATGTTTTGATTTATAGAAGCAAACCAAAGACCTAAGTAAAACTGCTCTGGGATGCTAAAATGCTAATTATTCTACTTTCTAATGTGCTATGAGAGGGAAAAAGTACAATGACCCAATTTTGTGGTCCTCACATAGGCAGCCCTCTCATTACATTGATATATTTTACCTTCAAGGGATCATGGAATTAGTTTTTCTTTGCCATATGCTTCCAAGTTGCTTTTTTAGTAGAAAGACCCCACAATAGCTCTGGCAGAGAGGAGTGACCCTACATTTTCTGTGCATTAAGCAATCCAGTGAAGGAACCATTTTCACTAACATAGTCAGTGAATTGGGAGCCAAATTCCCAAATTTTTAATATTACAGTATTAAGCACCCATTATTTCTCTTTTGCTTGAATGGATAAGATAGAAGCAATTTCAATAGTGTGCAAAAAAAAAAATCTGCCGCTTATTGCCAGGGTAGGTTATATGTGAAAAATTCCTATTAAAGCAAATGGAAACTAAATGTGTTTGAAAGCAGAATTTACCCCCTGGGTTGAATTTCACATACAGAAGAATTAGAGATTCGGCCAACAGAGACCTTACCTATTAAAGACTGTTAGAATGCTCAGCATTTTTCAGATGAGGACATCATGACCTTACTGGGCAGTCTGTATTCAATGAAAAGTCTAGTTCGTTTCAAAGGACTACATCAGAATGGCAAGATCTACACCACCCCCAACCTCCATTCCCATAACTAACTACAGAGGGAAGAAAATGGGACTTCTTAAGCAACCGAGGCTGTAGTGACTGCCTAAGCCTCCTATAGAACTCATGTCAATAGGAGTTCTGTGTCAAACAGAAAATCCTTCTCCACAGTAAAAAAATCTCAAAAGCTACGTCATGACTATGGATTCCACCCTGAGAAGAGCAGGCGGGAATTACATTGTGCCGTTAAAATGTTAGCAACCACATTTCATTTTTGAAAAGGCAATTTATTTGTCCTGAAATAAAGAGTTGATTATATCTCTTATTACTGTTACAAGAATTTGATATATCACAAAGTGGGAGAGTTACAGCATGTACCAACCATCAACCAGGAAAAATGAACCTGATTCATAATTCACTTGGAAAATGTCTAGTTAGTCAATCAAGTGATTTGTAATCATAAAGGCTGCCAGGAATTGAATGAATAATGGGCCACACTAAAATCCTTGGATTTTCTAGTATTCTTATTTCATTACGTGACTTTTATTGCCATTTCTGATAGTTGTCTCTTTCTCAGCTGAACTAAGTAAATTATACATATTATTTGAAAATATCTTTGACTGTTCATTGGCCAAAAGGATGTATGCAGATGTAGAGACCAGTATACATAACACCTAAAAAGAGATGAAAAATTAAAAGCTTTACACTTTAAAATTGAGGTGGAGATAAAGGATAAATCATTCCCTCTCCTCTTTTTGACTATATCAAGTTGTTGCAATTTCACTAGAAGGATCCCACAATAATTTCATCCAAGAAGCTTTTTCCATGAAGGAGTATATTCAGTAATGCAACATCACGCCAAGCCTGTAATCCCTGCTACTGAGGAGGCTGAAGCTGGCAGATGTCTTGAGCTCAGGAGATCTGAGATGCAGTGATAGAAGCTGATCAATCCATACTAGGTATGGCACCAATACGGTGAGCCCCTCAAAACGAGGGGCCACCAGGCTGCCTAAGGAGGGGCAAATCAGTCCATGTCAGAAATGGAACAAGTCCAAGCTTCCATGCCAACAGTAGTGGGATCAGGTACCTGAGTGGTCACTGCACATCCAGGCTGGGTGTAATAGGGAGACATGATCTCAAAAAAAAAAAATTAAATGAAGTAATATTAGTGCTCAGCAGTAACAATCTCCAAAAAAAATTTTTAATGAAGTAACATTAGTATATATACCCATACACATATACACATACATATGTATATATGTGTGCATGTGTATGTATGTGTATGTGTATATATGTGTATGTGTATGTGTATGTATGTGTATATATGTGTATGTGTGTATATGTATGTGTGTGCATATATATATATACATATATATGTGTGTATAAAATAGCATGGACCATATAGCAAAATCTAGTTAATAGCAGTAATCTCAAGGTTCCTTTTCTAGTATTCTAATTTGACAGTATTAAAATTATAAGCACTCTATAATCTGATAGGCAAAAGACGTTTGACCTCCAACTATAGCAATCTTGTTAAACTATAGAGGAAAGAAGTGTAAAAGCAGCCTAAATCTTAAGTTGCATCTATTAAAGGGGTAATATGATATATGCATATTGTTTAAAATGTGGAACTGCTAAAATTATATTTAATATGGTATCTCTTTGCAGTACCTTAGAGTCTGTCATTTTAACCATAGTTAATATCATGAGCATTTTGGTCAGAACACTAGTGGAAAAAAATGAATATGCTGAAATGACTGGAGCATGTTACACATAGTAATAAATATAGAGGCAGGTTCTTGGATTGACTTCCTTAAAATGATTTTCATCCAGAAGGATGCTTTTCAAACTTTAT